CAGAAATATGGAGAAGTGAAAAATTGGGATATATATGACGAAGATTTAATAGCCATCAAATGTTTAAAATAATTCTTATAAATGAGCAGGAAAATGGGCAAAAGACAAGGAGGTAACTTTAAAATTTATTGTCTTACATATATAGATCTTAAAATTTTCCATTTTACCTATTTTTAAGTATAGGTTCAGTGGCATTAATCCATCCACACTGTGGTGCAGCCGTCCCCACCGTCCGTCTCCAGAACTACATCACCTTCCCGAACTGAAGCTCTGTCCCTGCCAAACACTAACTCCCTGCTCTTCCTCCTGCAGCCCCGATCTTCCTTTCCGTCTCTAGGAATCTGCCTAGTCTAGGTACTTCATGTAAATGGAATCATAGATATTTTCCCTCTGCATCTGGCTTATTTCACCTACCATAATGTTTTTAAGGTTGGTCCGTGTTGTAGCATGCATCAGGATCTCCTTCCCATTTAGGGCTGAATAGTCCATTGTGTGTATATACCACGTTTTGTTTATACATTCGTCTGTTGATTGTTTGGGTGGTTTCCCACTTCTTAGCTCTTGTGAATAACGCAGCACTGGACGTGTGTGTACAAATACCTGTTTGAGTCCCTGTTTCCAGTTCTTTGGGGTATATACCTTGGAGTGGAATTGCTGGATTATGAGGTAATGCTGTTTTACCTCCTTGATTAAGTTTACTCCCGACTGTTTTATTCGTTAGATGCTGTTATAGGTGGAGTTGCTTTCTTAATTTCCTTTTTAGATTGTGTGTTACAGATGTATAGATACACAGCTGATTTTTGTGTGTCTTGTACTCTACAACCTTGCTGAGTTTGCTTATTAGATCTGATTACTTTCTTGTGGATTCTTTGGGATTTTTTATATATAGAATCACATCACCTGTGAATATAGTTTTCCTTCTTTCCAACTTGGACGCTTTTTGTGTCTTTTTCTTACCTCATGGCTCTGGCTGGAACCTCCAGCACAATGTTGAACAGCAGTGGTGAAAGTGGGCGCGTAACAGGGAGTTTCTCAAAGAAAAAGTGTAAGTGTTTTAACGACAGTCTTGTAAGTGGACGTGGTGTATGGCAGGGGTTGGCAGGCTTTTTCTGTAAATCGCCGTATGGTGGACATTTTAGACTTTGACCGTTTAGAGGCAGTTTGGGGAATTATTTTACAGTTAGTGTTTCCTATCATGGTAGAAATGTGACTTCACTCTCCTAAAAAAATGCCTGCCTTCTCTCAAAGACAGGGATCTTCCCTCTCGGGAACTCAGTAGACTGTGTTGCCTGAGTCTGCCCTCAGGGCTCAGGGGCCGCCTTGGCCCTGCGGGCAGTTCTTCACGTGCAGCCCAGGTCCTGGGTTCCGATTTCAGCGGAACTACTCTTTAGCTGTGTAACCTTCTCTTGTTACTGAGTCTGTGAAATGAGCAGTAACTTCACAGGGTTGTTCTGAAGATGAAATGAGCTAATAGATGCCAAGGTTTAGACAGTGCACAGCACATTGTGGAACACTTGATTTGTTTTCATGTGTGTTTTACTTTTTTAATAAATAAAATTGACTTTGAAGGTTGTATTAGTTTCAGGTGTGCAAGACAGTGATGTGACGATTTGTTGTCAACCGACTAGAACTGTAGAGTCATCCTTGCTTAGGAGATGAGTGGAGCCAGAGGCAGCCTGTTCTGCAGGCTGCGCTGAAGCCTGCTGACCCCTGATGTGGGCGGTGGGCTGTTGTGTCTGGTCAGGTATGAACTGGAGCAGCTTGTCTGGAAGGCATTTGACAGTCTGCTCTTGCAGTGTTTAAATGGCTTTATTACTTGATCGCATCTGTCTCTCCTTTGGGAATTTATTCTAACAAGCTAAGCAGAGTTACAGCTTTACTTATAAAAACACAAGTTTGAAACAAAACAACCTTTGGTTTCCAGAGGGGGAGTTGGCATTGATTTTTGGTTGTATTTATAAAATGGAATAATGTTCAGTCCTAAAAATTATGTTTTTGGATAATATTAAAATGAGAAACGTTTGATCTGTAAGTGAGAAAGCAAGATAAAACTGGTAGTGTGCCGTGCTACCTGGTGCCTGCGGGCCCCAGACTTCCCGCCTGTAGGCGTCTGCCTGCTGGTCTTCGAAGAGGGGGTCCTCACGGGTGTTTGCCCTCAGAATTAGCAGCCCTGGGAGATGGCTAATCTCACCAGAGCTCAGGCTGACTGGTCTCAGCCACTTACCTCCTTGTCAGAGTCATAGATCCCACCACCCTGCTGGTGTCAGCTGGTGTCTCTGTCTCACGGGGCCACAAATCCACGCTCTTTCGGTGAACCAAGGCCCCTGCCTCACTTAGAGCCAGTCAGAAATCTCTTCCCTGTCCCTTTGCGTTCACAGCCCTTTCCCCGGTTAAAAGGCACTGCATGCTCACAGGCATGCTCACAGGTGTCTCTCCTCTGTGTGGCCCGCTGTTGCCTGTAGCAGCGAACCTATTAAACTTCCCTTCATTCTTAAACTTCTCCTTGCCTTGAGTAAGTTCTTTTACTGCTTGTGACATGCCCTCCCTGTGTCCCCCAACATGGTATTATTCCAGTGTTTTAAATATATATAAAACACATCCTTATAAATGCAAACCATGAAGGAAATAGGTCAAATTGTTACCAGTATTTTTGGGTGACTTTTATTGGGTTTTTCCTGTTTTTCATTGATTTTCAAAGGTTGCACATTGCTTATATAATCGGAAAAAGACCTCAGTCTTTGGTTTATAAAAAAATGGATCACTGATGCCATGGTTTCAGTTTTTTATTTTAATTGTTTTTAAAATTGAGGTACAGTTGACATATAACATTATAATAGTTTTAAGTGTACAGCATAATGATTTGATATTTGTACACATTGTGAAATGATCTCCACAGTAAGTCTAGTTAAAATCTAAAAAATTCTATTCTTGCGATGAGAGCCTTTCATCTCTGCATTCTTAGCAATTTTAAAATCTGCACTGCAGTATTATTAACTGTAGTCACCATGCTGTACACTTACCACACACCCAGGACGTGTTTATTTTATACCTGGAAGTTTGTACCTTTTGACCCCTTTCACCTATTTTTCCCACCCCCACCCCCTGCCTCTGGCACTCACCAATCTGTTCTCTGTATCTGTGAGCGTGGGGTTTTGGTTTTGCTTTTTTGTTTGTTCTTTTTATATTCCATGTATAAGTAAGATCATATAGTATTTATCTATCTCTTTCTGACTTACTTCACTTACCATAATGCTCTTGAGGCCCATCCATGTTGTTGCAAATGGCAAGATTTCATTCTTTTTTTATTGCTGAAATAATATTCCTCTGTGTGTGCACACATGCATATATGTGTGGTCTGTGTGATTACGTATACGTGTGTGTGTCTGTATACACACATCACATTTATCTGTTCATTAATTTGTTGGTGGACACTTGGGTAATTTCCACTTTTGGCTGTTGTAAATAATGCTGCAGTGGTCCTAGCGGTATGCATACCTTTCTGAGTTAGTGTTTCCACTTCTGTGGGTAAATACCCAGACGTGGGATGGCTGAATCATATGGTAGGTTTGTTTTAATTTTTTCAGGGTCTCCCATACTGGTTTTCATAGTGATTGCACTAATTTACAGTCTCACCCAAAAGTGCACAAATTCCCTTTTCTGCATATCCTCATCAACACTTGATATTGCTTGTCTTTTTGATAACAGCCGTTCTGACAGGTGTTAGGTGATAGCTCATTGTGGGTTTGATCTGCGTTTTCCTTATGACTGGTGGTGTTGAGCATCTTCTCAGGTACCCGTTGGCATCTGCGTGTTGTCTTTGGAAAAAGGCCTATTCAGCTCTTCCGCCCATTTTTTAATCAGATTGTGTTTTGCTATTTAGTTGTGTCAGTCCTTCATATATTTTGGATATTGACTCCGTGTCAGACACATGGTTTGCAAGTATTCTTGCGTTCAGTAGGTTGCTCTTTCATTTTGTTGACTGTTTCCTTTGCTGTTTGGAAGCTTTTTAGTTTGATGTAGTCCCACTTGTTTATTTTGTTTTTGTTGCTTTTGCTTTTGGCGTGATTGTGTCTCTGTGTGTGTGTGTGTGTGTGTGTGTGTGTGTGTTTTAAGCCACTTGCTTCAGGAGATGAACATTCTCTTCTTTTTAATTTGTTTTATTGTTATGTTATTTAATTTAAAAACTCGTTATTAAACGAAAAGTAATACATGCAAAATGGATTGAAGATTGACTCGCCTTCCTTCCTCTTCCCCAGAAAGTGTTAGAATTACCAGCTTCTTGTGTCTTGCAGAGGGCATTTTAAGAGGAAACTTTCAGGCGATTCACGTTAGGAGGGAAGAGCAGTTAAACTACGATCCTTTACCATCCCACGATAGTAAGCAGTTGCCCTCTGAGGGAACCTGCGGCTGGATTTAGATTGAACAGACTTTTCTTACTTGTTTTTAGGAATTCGCAAATGATCTCAGAAAGTGAACGTTCTTTTTTCTTTTTTTTGACCCTTTTGTATAACACTTCTGAGCAGATGGGGACCTCCCATAGAGGAAGTGATAAGTTGTTTATAGTTTCTCCAAGCTTTTATTAGTTTCTAGGATGCATTCAGTAATTTCATCATATAGTGTTTATGCTGTCTACGATTCCAGCTAACTTTCCCCATTTTTAAGGGAGCCATGGATAAGTGCATTTTTTAAAATTTTTTATTTTTTTAAAGGAGGGTTTTTTATTCCTAACTCACTTTTTTTTTAAAATTTTTGTCTTTTTTGGGGGGTGTAATTAGGTTTATGTATGTATGTATGTGTTACGTATTTAATGGAGGTGCTGGGGATTGAGCTCAGGAGGCACTCTACCACCGAACTGTACACTCCCCCGCAATGCGAACATTCTTTACCGTGATTTTAACCTCCATTTCAAGTTGGTTCGCGTATTCTCAGCAGCTATATGGCTTTGGAAATTTAATCAAGTCTAATGTCTTTTGTTTGCCTATTTTTAATTTATGTAACAGGGTAGGATCCTTTATAAAGTTCGATGGAAGGGATACACGTCGGATGATGATACCTGGGAGCCGGAGGTTCATCTCGAAGATTGTAAAGAAGTTCTTCTGGAATTTAGGAAGAAGGTTGCAGATAACAAAGCTAAATCAGTCAAGAAGGATGTTCAGGTATTATGTTTTGTCTCATAGGTTTTTTTTTTAGTACAATATGTTTATTATAAACTTGACTGATAGAATGTACTGTAAGGAATTTTTGAATAATAATAAAATATTACAATATTCCTGTTGTAAATTCTGTATGGCCAGCTGATTCGTTGATTTTTGCCAAACCCTTCCATCTGTGGCCAGCCTGTGATTACAGTTGACGACCAGGTATGGTTTGGACGTGTTGATTAGTATTTTCCTTCAAGTAAGAGTAAGGTGACAGTGGAGAGAGAAGAGACATGTTGAAGCTTTGCTTGTTTGCCCCTGGTGTGAGCAGCGTGTTTTGTATCCCCAGGGGATATTTTTTGTGCTATTCACGTTACTACTACAGATGCAATGCATACTTCTATATTTAATCTGCATTATTAGCGTATTTCTAATGTCTGATCTTTCTGCCAGTTGAAACAATCCTTAGATCACTTTATATAGCTATACATTTAAATCTATTTCAGATTATTCACAGGTCTGATTATTCTGGTCTTTTTTTTTTTTCTCTTCTCTTTCCACTTCAGTTTTTAGCTACTTTGCTGCTTTTTTGTAGCTCTTGCTGATGGTAGGGAAGGATGAAGAAAGAAGGGAACTCAAATGAGTCAGACTTATGTCAGGAGCGGTTTGGGAAGGGGTCTGATGGGGCCCGGAGTGGGATGATGTTAAAACTAGCGTGCAGGTTTGGCTTAAGGGCTTCTTTCTGTGGGTTTGTCCGTTACTTTATCCTTGGTTTTCATGTTCCACACACTGAACTGGCTTTACTGATGGATCTTGTACGAATTTCCCATTTACCCTTCCATGGAAATTTCATTTATAAACGGAACCCACTCTCATTGCTTTTGGTTTTAGTTTTCATTTTTAGAAATAATTATTAAGTGTGGTGATTGTTAATAATAGTAGCAGTGGTGGAGGCATCCTGTTTACACCAGCTTGTGTAATGTGGATGGGCAGACACTGGGCCAGCACTTGTGTGGATTCAGATGAGAAACGGAGGCTTAGATGAGTTAAGGGGCCAGCCCAAGTTCACCAGTTAGTCCTGATAGGGCCAGGAAGCTACACTGGTTACCACTGTTAACCACTGTGATAGGTTCTATTTTGGTTTGGGCTGTGCTTTGAAATCCATTTAGAGGAGTGGCGTTACCAGTTTTTAAAAATGTTTTGTAGTGGCAAGGTCTTTAATAAATAGTTTTTAAATTACTAAGCAAAATCTTCAGTACTTTTAAAATTTTTATAAAGGAAATTCTTTACAAAATGAGTTCAGGTTGAAGCAGAGACTTTAAGTTTTTAAGTATAACAGTAGTTGTACTTCACTTTTCTAGAGTGGGTGTCTGCTCCCTCCTTCCCTGTTTCTTTCTCTGCAAATTCTGCACAAACAGTGCACCTGTCTTAGTAAGTGATTGGTGCATGGACATCTTCTTAAACTATATTTCTAATTTTCCTGCCTTATTAGTGAGACACGTTTGCTGAAACTTCTCCCCAAAAGTCTTATGTTCTAGAATGCTGGCTTTACTGTCCCTTTCACTTCACCAGGGCTCTGGTTAAACCCAACTTGGAAGTCTCTTGAGTTAAAATTATTGAAAATCTGAGTGAGGCTGATTCCTGATACACTGCTGTGTTTCGTTCATGCTTATTCTTTTTTTTTTTTTTTTTTTTTTTTTTTGCAAGGGGAAGGTAACTAGGTTCATATATTTAGTTACTTTTTCAGTGGAAGTACTAGGGATTGAACCCAGGACCTCATGCATGTGAAGCATGCACTCTACCACTTGAGCTATACCTTGCCCCCTTCCCTCCTGAGGCTTACTCTTAAGCTTAAAAATCCTTGTCTTAATTTTAGGAAGATACTTCTTCACTTCAAAGTGTCTTTTTCTAAAGCTGCCATTACTATTTTAAAGTAAAATTCCAGGCACTAATAACATTTTGAATTTTTATAAGACTGAAAGCTCTATTTTCTAGGTCAGGTCGACTTTCTCCTGAATTCTCTCATTTATGAATATTCCAATATTTATATTGCTGAGTTTTTGGCCTAATCATTGACCAGTGCCGGTGGATGGGAACATGGAAACATGCCACTGGTCACTGCCCTTTCCGCTTTAGGAAGACCATTTTGCTGTCACCACCCCTGTGACTCTCTCACTGTCGATGCAGAGTGGGAGGTCAGCAGGAGGGACTGGCCGCCTCCATCGCTACCCCGTCTGTTTATGGAGGAAGCAAGCGCGCGCCGCCTGCGAAAGTCCTCCAATTGCGGAAGTCCTCCGATTGCTGTCTGACGGAGAGGTCTGACCACAGTAGTCCCAAGACTGACTGGTCAGGTTATCTGCTTAAATTTGGGAACACTGCTTGCTTAGGTCTTAGTAAGCATCACAGAAGTTAGAAGTGGTTTTTAGAATAACTCAAAAGTGATTGTTGATGCTGTTCACCAGAAAATATGCATGATGCAGAGATGGTATTTGTTCATTAAAATACTTTTTATTATGTGGCATTTGGATACCTTTTGATCTTTTTGCTGACCATTGAGTGTGTCAAACTAAAAGAAAAAAATGAGGTGCTGTTTAACATTGACTTGTGTGATGTGGTGCAGACCTTCATTTCAGATGGACTGAAAATCCACAGCTGAGGCAGCCGCTGGTCTGCCTTGAGCGTTGATGATTGATGTGACATGACCCGGAGGAGCCTCTGCTGGAGTGTTCCAGCAGCACTTTATTGCTTTTACCTTTCTGGTAGTTTTTTCAGGGATACCTTTTTTCAGTAAATGTAGAGTGTGTCCAGACCTTTAAGTGCTCAGTTACCCAAAGATAGACTGTATCTTTCTTTCGCTCTTGTGGGCCTTGCTAGTGGTGTGTGATCTTACTTTGAGGTGGCACCATGTGCTAAGTGTTTTGCCTTCTGCCTTTCTTTTAAAATAATTTTTTATCAGTGTATATTCTAGCCAGCAAACCACTATGTTTTTTAATGATTACCTGTGTACCCACTACTTAGCTAAGAGAGAGTTTTGCCTTTATTATAAAATTTGCCTGAGGTTAGCCTTTTTTTGGGGGGGGGATAGCTTTTTGAAATACTGGCTACAAAATAATAAACATATACACCCTTCTAATGTAAAATGAATTAGGATTTGCATACCCAAATGAGTATTCTTTTTAAGAGTGTACACTCTGTGAAGTAACCATTTATTCCGGTAGTGCCATAGCCCAAAATGGTTTTAATTTTCTTCTTTTGGAATTGTCTTCATAAGAATTTAAATGTCGTTCAAGAAAATTAATTTCTAGTAACACCTCCTTTTTGTACTGAAAAGAGGCACGGTGGTGGTTCTGCAATTACAGGAGTGCCTTCCAGGAGGATTTGCTTGCTGGTCGCACTTGGACAGCTCGTGTTCTCCTGCGCAGGTTACCTGGAGGGAGTGACCTCCCTCCAGGGTGTGCGCGCTGTGCATCTCACAAAGGTGTTGCCACTTTGTCGTCTCGGCCCGTGTGTGGTCAGGGAACATTCCCGTGGACTGGGGTGTACCAGGGCTCATTTACTAGAAGGGCTTAGACTTGTGATATGTGTGGTTTTAATTTGGGGGGGGTTGTGGTTTTTTTAGTTATTTTTAGAGTTTTAACACGAATTCCTTTCCATCATCTAACACCCTTGTCCGATGGCAGGCAGTGACTGTTCGTTGGGAAGGAGCTGATTTTTGCGTCCTGACTGCCAGTCTGGCCAGTTATTCCAGGGCTGGATCCCCCAGTGCAGCTAACCTGCCGGTTCGTTTAAACTACGGCTAACTAATAATTTTACAGGATGGTGTTCTGATGCCTAAAGCCAAATGGCTGTATTGTCGTCTGTCTGCATCCACCCGTTTGTGTTTAAAACCCACAGGTTATGTAGCTTTCCTGGGAGGAGTCCAGCGACCAAGGGAAAGTCCTTCTTCGGAGCTGCTTGCTGAGGAGCCAGCACTGGAGCTCCTCGCAGATGGCTGAGGAAGAATGAGAAGCATAGGTGGCCTGTCCCGCACGGGGACCCGTCACCCTGTGGTAGTGACAGCGGCAGCAGCCACCACATGGGGCAGGTGGCGTTGCTGGAGGCCAGGACGCAGCAGAGATGAGAAGAGAGTGCTCTCGGGGCTTGGAGGCTCAGTTTCTGGTTTGAAGAGGGGACACTCCCCTGAAGATCTTTTTTATTTACACGAGTTAGAATTTTCAGAATTTTAGAATTCTTTTAAGTTGTTTTACCTGATAAAAGGGATAACTCCAGCCTCTTGCTAGTAATCATTTCATGTTCATTCGTTCAAAAAAATCCATTTTTAGTATGTCAGTCACTGGGCATAAGCAGAGTAGCTGCGTCCCTGCCTTTGGAGCGCTCGGAGCCCGGGAGGGGCCCGCGGGTGAGGGACAGAGCTGTGAGTGTGCTGTGCGAGGTCCGAGGAAGGAGAGTGACTCCCCAGATAAGCACCAGGGTGACATTACAGAGGACTCGCCACCTGGCTGAAGCCCCCAAAGACAAGGAATTCAGGGGATCCGTGGAGGGGAGGCAGGTACAAAGATGCAGAGTTGTGCCAGAGCAGACTTGGAGGGTGAGAAGTGCCCGAGCACTCGGAAAGGAGAGGGAGAGACGCTGGGGCAGCAGGGGAAGAGATGTGTATGCAGCTGGTTTGTATGCAGCTGTGTTTAAACCTGATCGTTTGGTCAGGAGAGAGGCCAACAGGAGTTTGGAGGGAAGTCATGTGATGAGACTGATGTGTTAGGAAGGTGATTTTTAAAGAACTTTTAGGAAAACTTGGACATGTAAAACTGCAGGGACTGTACCGTGAGATCTGTAGTCACCGCCCAGCCCTGGTCACTGTCATTATGCGCCGTCCTTCCCTCTGCTGGCCCGCTCACCCTGTCTGCCAGCCGCAGTGCTGTAAGCCAGGTACCGGGTGCCACGTCGCTTTACCCTGCGGTACTCTGGTCGATGACAGGCGCCCTGAAAACACAACCACTCTACCGTGATCACACCAAAAAAAGTTTGTACTTGTTTCCTAGTATCTTCTAATATCCAGTAATGCGTTGTTTCCCCCAGGTGTCTCAAAAAAACAAAACAAAACATCTTTTTGTTGATTTGGTAATTGGGATTTGAGAAAGGTCTGCACATGGTGCATCACTGATGATCTCTGAAGTCTCTCTTAATCTATGACAGCTTCCTCCCCTAACCTTCTCCCATTTTCCCCTCTTGTTTATGTGCCGAAGAGACCAGATTGTTTTTCGGTCGGGTTCTGCATGTGCTGGGTTTGGCTGAGTGCCTGGTGTCTTTTTACATGTTCCCCTGTACCCAGATAGAGAGGCATGATTCTGTGGGTTTATTCATTTTGCAGGAGGTCGCCAGGGGGCAGTAACACATCAGAAGCGCGTGTCTGGCTGACTCCCTCCCAGTGAGGTTCCTGGGACCGCTGATCATGGGAGCTTTCAGTCTGACCCGTCGTTAGAAAGTCCTCGTGTTTCACGTGTGGGGTTAGGAGCCACTGATGATCGTTGCGCAGAACCGTTGTTTTATTACAGGTTGGAAACTGGCGATTTTCTGATTCTGTCTTTCATTCTGCCTTTGTTACATTACGGGCGGGAAAGACGATTCCAAAATGCTGTGGTCCTGATTGGAATGGGGAGACCGCTGGCAGGAGAGGGGTTGCTGAACTGAGGTGGTGAGGTTGGGGAACTGACCCCCACAGGACCTGTGACCGGGCGATGAGGGGAGTGTAGCCAGAGGGGCTCACATGACTGCTTTGGGGACCTGGATAAGTGGTGGTGGTGTTTAGGGAACAGCTCCAGTTTTGAACACATTACACTTCAGTTACTTAAAATAAAAACATCTGTTTTGTTTGGAAATGAGGGAGTCAACACTAATTTTTAGGAAAATGGTTTTCAAGAAGATGGAAGTCAGTTGTAAACTCTTCAGGGTTGAGGGAAATGGAGAAAGTAGAGACTCTTGCAGAACTTGCTTGAAACAAAGGGGTCGCTGTCGAGTGAGCCCTTGAGCGAGCTGCACGCTTCGCTTTTGGTTTCCTCACCGTGTGTTTCACAACCGGGGAGCCCTTCCGGCAGCAGGGCCTGCGCCAGCAGCAGCAGCCCAACAGGGCTGTTCTCGTTCACGGCCGGTGTGTAGCGCCACCATGTGGGTGTGCTGTGCCCTATGGTCCCAGAGTGTCCTTGCGGCCCCGTCCTCCACGCGTTTAGTGGCCTGCCTTTCCATCTAGCGCACTCCAGAGCCTTTTGCCCCCCTTTTTTGTGTTTCAGCACATAATCCTTTTTTTAAGGTTCAGGCCAGTTTATAGGTTCTTCAGATTGGAATTAGATGAATGCTCATTAATGTTAAGTCACAAGTAGTATTTTTCTAATTGGAATTAGGTTATTTGCAGACTGAGTGTAGACATCCTGGCACGTGTATTACGTCGATCAGGTGTGCAACTCAGGAGATGGGCCATGTGTCAGTCATCTCATTTCTGACATTAAATTAGCATTATATGGTCCAGGGAGGCCCCGTTATTTTTTTCTCCCTTTTTAAAGGAACATTTTTCCCTTTTAAAATAATATATAGCCTAATAATTAATTTTTGAGATTGTGAGAATCACTTGTTCCCCAACAGACTGTCAGCCTATGATTTTAAAATACTTTGATAACTCTTGCCTTAATTAGTTATTACTGTGGTGGTTGCAAAATAATGACTTTTCTAGTTGTGTTATATGTATTTTTCAGTTTGTATCCTACAAGGACCGGTTCCTCTCTCCCCTTAAATTTTGTTAAGTGTCAGTGCACTCGTGGAATCTTTATTTAACTACTGTTGTTGTTAATGTTAATACTAAACGGTTCCACGGTTGGCTTGTGGGAGCCCCTTCCTGCTTTGGGCACGTCTGTCTCCTGGAACAAGGTGTCTGGGTCACCTTGTGCTTTCCTGCTCCCGCCCTGGCAGCAGCCGTTTCTCCAGGGAGCCCTGATTCTTGTGGGAAGAGATTAACCAAGATGTACTTACTGCTACTAGGCCATCATTATTTCTAGGCGCTTTGTAGACAGAGCTAAAGGAAGAAACACACGCTTATTTGTCCTAAATCAGGTTCCTACGAACGGCTGTAGTTTCAGTCCCTCACTGTCCACAGTTCTCCTTTTCCACCGTAGAGCTTTTTTTCTCTCAGACTTCATCTTTTTGCCTGATACCTCAAATTTTTTGTTTTCTCTACTGTTTTTTAGAAACCAGAATTTGGCTGAGTAAACTTGAAGGTCTGATTGGCTTTATTCAGGATTCAGGAATCGGGCATCATCCCGCCTAAGGAGCAGAACGGTGCTCCCTGGAGTGTGTGATGGGGAAAGTGTTTGCTGGCGGAGGGGGGAGGACAAGGAGTGGATTGTTTCCAGCCAGGTCACCTCCCTTAGGGGGAGGCCAGGGTCTTACAGGGAGGTCACCTCGTTAGTGCTGACGGAAGCTCCGCCCCGATGGGCTTGAAGTTCCACTCCTGGGAGAGGTTAGGCAGTAGGTCCCCCTGGGGGAGGGCTGGCCAGAGGGACGCTGTCTTTCTGGGCTTCTTACTCTTCTCCTTAGTCTTTTTTTCTTAGAACAACTTAGGAAAATACTCTGTCCTTATTTTCTGCTGCTTATATTTATAGGAGATTATTTTTTCTGGACTTTTAGAAGGCAGAGGAGGAGAGCAAGATACTTTTTTTTAGCTTCATGGCTCCTTAGCAGCCTTCTTTGTTGTTTTAATGAAGGTTAAAAAAATACAGCCTTTGACTGTGTGAGCGTCTTCCTGGCTGTGGTCTCACCGGCCACCACCACTTATGTCTGCAGCTCCGTTCTCTGTCTCTGTGCTCCCTGCGCCGCTTTACTTGGAGTCTCATCTCAGCAGTCTGTCCTTGTGGTGAACTTTGCCCTGGGCGTCCTGGCGTGTGCACCAGCAGGTCACTTTAGAGAGTCCCGGGGGCCTGGACCCGCCTGCACCCGGGGACCCACAGCTGCAACCTCACCCTGACCCGCCAGACTTTGTAGCAGTTTCTCCCATTTTCCTTGCTGCCTTGCTTCCTGCTGCTTATGTTTGGGGCTCACTGGGGTTCCTGGCTCCTTAGTTTTGCTGTAGATGTTGTCTGGGGGGGGGGTAAGTGCCATAGGGAGAACTTTAAAAAATACGTCTGTCTCTCCTTCCCTTCTTCCCCCCACCCCAAGTCATTTAGGAAAAGAGGGTTTGCGGGAATGGGACCTGCAAATGCTTCGCGTAGTCTTTTTGTGTCCGTACAGATACTTTATTCTTAATGGGGTTTTGGGGCTTTTTTGGTTTTGTTTGTTTTTAAAATGGGAAGAGATATTTTCCAGAGGAGCGATTTCGGGTTGTAACTCAGGCAACATCCGGCTCAGGCAGCAAGGCTTCGGGCAGTCTCGCTCCTCCACGTGTAACTGAGGTGCACAGCGAGTGTAAAGACACTCGGGAATCCAAAGGCTCAAAGGACCTTTGTGTTTGGATTTGTAACCACTTTTCCGGCAACAAATAAAGTCTGTACAGATTATTTCCTTGGTGTGTTTAGAAATGTTGAAGTTGGAATCGTGTACAGCCCCGAACATAGCAGTGACTCTTACTGCTCACATCTGCTTTCCTTGGAACCTACAGCGGCGCCAGCATTTTCTGGCCCTCTGTGTTCATCTGTTCCCTTGAATTGACACTTATCGCCACCAAGGCCTATTTGCTAAATCAGAAATATAGGTAATATACAGCTTCAGTTTAGGTAAGTAACTTTAAGGAGTTGAGAAACCGGGGGGGGGAAACTCCTACCAGATTTCGTTAGTCCTGCTTTTCAGATACCTTTTAAATTACTACGTTAATGCGTATTTACATCTCTTTTATGCTTTATAGAGACTGTCCTTAAGTAATGACATATTCGAGGCAAACTCTGATAGTGATGAACAAAGTGAGGCCAAAGAAGAGACTTCTCCGAAGAAGAAGAAGAAGAAGCTGAGGCTTCGAGAAGAGAAGAGCCCGGACGACCCGAGGAGGAGGAAGGCGAAGACGGGGAGACTGAGAGACAGGCCCAGGCCAGACCTGGAGGGCTCCTCCGAAGGGACGAAGAAGAGAATTCTGGAAGCCAAAGAGGAATTAAAGGAACCCAAAAAGCCCAAAAAAGATGATACGAAAGAAACTAAGGAGTTAAAGAAAGCTAAAAAGGGTGAAACAAGAGATTTAAAGACTAAAATAAGAGAAGATTCCAAGGAAAACAGGAGAACAAAAAAAGAGAAATGTGCTGAATCTCAGCTGGAATCGGAACTGAGTGCACAGAGTGACTCCCCGCTTCCGGAGGAGGACAGTGAGGGCTTACTGTCTGACGGCAGGGAAGAGAAGCCGAAGGTGAGGGGTGTGAGAGACAAGACGGGACCAGATGCAGCGCCGGAACCCAGCTTTGAGAAACAGCAGGACGGCTCGGTCAGCGCTGATGAGGATGATGTCAAAGCAAAGAGGAGAAAAAAGAAACTGAGAAACACCGAGGAACCTAAAGAGAGCAAAAAGCCAGAAAACAAGAACCTTTTCTTAGAGAAGAAAAATATACAAAAAAAGCCAAGGAATCAAGACAGAGGCAGAGGTAACGCAGAGCCAGAGAAACAGATGCCAACGCCCGCGCAGGAGAAGCCCCGGCTGAGTGTGGAGGAGAGGGGACCCGGGCCCGCCGGCTCCCCAGGGCAGGTGGGAGGGGTTCCCCGGGGCAGGTGGGGGGAGTCCCCGTGGCAGGTGGGGGGGGTCCCCGTGGCAGGTGAGTCAGGCCCAGAGGGCAGTTTGCTCTGATAGAAGGACCATGGTTTAAATCTTGTGGAACCCAGAAATGTTCGGGCCAGGCTAGCGCTCCTTTGATTGGTTAGGTAGCTTCACACGTGATGAAGAGGAAATGGTGGGGCACAGGCACACCTTTTAAGTTTTTACTGCACTTTGCAGATACTGTTGTTTTTTTTACAGATGGAAGGTTTGGGGCAACCCTGTGTTGAGCAGGTCTGTTGGCACCATTTTACCAACAGCGTCTGCCCCCTTCATGTCTCTGTATGACATTTTGGTAATTCTTGCAGTATTTCACACTTTTTCATTATGACTGTTTGTGATGGTAGCTGTGGCCAGTGCTCTTTGATGTTCCTATCACAAGAAGATTATGGCTTGCTGGAGGCTCACATGAGGGTTAGCATTTTTTAGCAGTGGTTTAACTAAGGTACGTATCTTTTCTTAGACGTAATGCTGTTGCACACTTAATGGACCACAGCGTTGTGTGAACATGACTTTTTTGTGCACTGGGAGGCAAAAGAATTGTGACTCGCTTTATTGCAGGGGTCTGGAACTGAATCCGCAGTGTCTCTGAGGTGTGCCTCGGTAAGGAGGTCTTCTGTCATTAGAGACTTAATAGACGAAGAAATTTCTCTCCACCCTTCTAGATTCTTCCAGGAATTAAACTGACAGGAGACAAATTAACAGGATAAAATTTTTAAAAAAAGGTTGATAACATGTATTCATGGGAGAAACCCAGGAAAATGAAGTAACTCTGCAAAATGGATGAAGCCCTTACCCCAGATGCCATCCTCAGCCAAAGACAAAAGAGGCCTTGAGGGCGGGGAGTCAGTTATTGGAGGTGACCCAGAAAAGCACCATAAACAAGGGTGAAGTTGTTACTTCAGATCTAAGCCCTTGCCTTCTCCGTACACAGAGACTTGGGAGACAGCCTTATGGACGGCAGTTCCCCTCACACGGCTGAAGGGTGACTTCCGCCTGGTGTTCCGAGTTTTTGCCATGCCTGCTGTTTCTTAGGGGAAAGCCGGCTTAGAATAATGAGTACATGAGGCCGACACATGTTGGGTGGCAGATTCTGCTCCCTGTCGTGTCGTCTGACTGGTGAGAGGCAGTTACAAAAGCTGGAAGCCATCCAGCTTCTCTGTGTCTCCAGACCTGCCTCCTTTCTGACCGACTACAACTGGAAAACCAGCTGCTAGTCTGTGAGTGGCAGTCAGGGTGTTCAGAGGCCCTCCGGCAGGGCGTGACATCTGGCGGGGCTCACAGCCCATCAGCTCCCTTCACTCTTCACGCCGGGTGCCTTCCCCGCTGTGTTAAGAATGTGCCGCCTTTTGTGTGAGGAGCGGCACACAGAGTGCGCTAACCTCAGTACTGTAGTATTTGCAGAGGCACCTTTAGTAGTTTATCCCGCTGTTTTAAAAATTATTTTTATATGTTTTTTCCAAGTAGATGTATTTTCCACATTATGAAAAGATTGATATATGCAGTATCTATCAAGGGCTATAAAAAGTAATTTTTTTTCATCCATTATTCCCGTTTTGTGGGTTTACCTTTAGGAAGTCAGGCTGAAGGGGGAAGGAAGCTATGTGTACAGAGATGTTTACAGCAGTGCTGTGTCTTCACCAGAACTAGAACTGTGCCAGTCTGTCTAGCCCGGGGGAGGTGGTGGAGAAGATGTCATAGGTAACAGCTGCGGACTGCTGTATGCCCACTTAACACAGCAGAAACAGAACAGTTTACGAAGTACTGTGGTGAAGAAAACCATCCGTACACGTAAACACAGTGGTGTGAAAATATCTTTGCAACGTAAAAAAATAACTTTAAACAACAAAATTATCTGTAAAATTACAGAGCTCAGAAGGGAATGTGGAGAATTAAAAAACAGCCATGTTTGGCTAGTAGGACTGGAGGTGAATTTGGGGGGAATTTTATTTTTAATAATAACATTATTCAAAGAGAGTGAGGAGACTTGATGTTGACTTTTGAATGTGGTCATTTGTAGATTGTCCAGGTTGAGGGATGCACTTGACTGAGGACATGGCTGGTGTCAGCACTGCAGCCTGTTGTCCAGCTTTCAGGGTTGGTAACGGCCGTCTGTTCTTGTATTGGGCCTTGTGTGTGTCTTTTTTAGGAGAAAGAGACCAAAAGAAATGAACCCAAAGAAAAGTACCAGAAGAAGCATGATTTGGACAAGGAAGAAAAAGGCCGAAAAGAGCCCAAGTCATTGAAGGGTTAGTGTGAATACTGAGCTGCACCATTTATTTGCCTTGGTCTTTCGCAGGAGAAACCTAACTCATCTCGAAGACAGCCTCTCTCTTCTGGTGTGCAGAGTGGAGGGCTGGAAAGGCATCCCCTGGGGAGTCCCCTCTGTTTACCGGTTATCTTAGTCTACTGCATAAAGAGTTTACGTTATTAATATAATCAGCTCCCCCCAGCGCCCCGCCTTCCCCTTCTCAGTGCTCTTTTCCCCTCTGAATGTGAGGTGGAATTCGTTAGCTTCAGGGGCAGGAAGTTAGGACAGAAGGGTAAATCTCTCTTTTTTGGTGGATGCTGAGACAAACTGCCTTAAGTATTTACTGTGTTCAGCTCTGTCATTTGTGTAAATACAGTACTGAATGTACATTTTGATCACCGCAAGATAGAGTGTCATCCGAGAAGCAGATCTGAGAAGCAGAGTGACGTCAGCGCTGGAACAAGGGCTTTTGGGGCCGCTCACCACCGCAGATAGTTTAGCTCCTGTAGCAGAAGTGCTTGGAACACATGTTTTCTAAGAAATGGATAACTTCACATGGGTTTTCTCCCCAAAGCGGTGTGTAGCTGAGGTAATACTGAGAGTAAGTCTGGGCTCGGCCTCAGCACAGACTGGCAGTAAGTCGGGGGTGCGTCTGGGGAGCAGGGGTGCTGCTTGGCTGCCTCAGGGGACTGCAGTGAAGAGACTGTTCAAAGGAATGGAAGTCTTAAGCACCCGTTACTCTTCAGCAAGTGCTTGGAGCTTCAGAGTATTGTAAAATGAGAACTTTCTTCCTCTGAGTATCTTACCTGTCAGTTTCAGGTACATCTTTACTGTGAATGCTTCGTCTTAAGCTGCTGTTCATTAAATGCGTAACAGCACCCTGGCGGGTCTGCTTTTCAGTGTCCCTGTAATAAAATGTCCCGGTACCCAGAGTCTGTATAGAGGTCTTCCTCCTCTTGTTCCCCCTCTATTTCTGTCTGTATCACAAGCGTCAGGGGCAGTGTCAGCAGGTGCACGGCGTGCTCACACCTTCGTTTCTCCCACTCACCTCCAGAGGGCACTTGTGCACAAGGTTAACTCGGGAGACTGCAGCAGTCAGCTCCGCAGAGGGACAGTGGGGGCGCGGCGAGAGTTCTGCTCCCTGGTGGGGCTCCCCGTCCTCAGTGGGTCTTGTCCGAGCTGGCACAGAACACTGAACTAATAGCCATTCACTTTGGGCGTCCTTTCTAAATACTGAGTAGCCAAAGACCAATTGAAACAACTTCATGGCTGTGATAGTAAATTTGATCAGGCTTTATAACCAAAGCAGTAGTAGTAAAAATTAAGAAAATACCCATTTTTTTTAATACTAACCCAATTTTTCTTTAGCAACAAATTTGTGGCTCATATTTATTATCAATTTTATTTTTTCACTAGCATTTAAGGAAATCAGAAATGCATTTGATTTATTTAAATTAACTCCAGAAGAAAAAAATGATTTTCCTGAGAATAATCGGAAAAGAGAAGAAATAACACCAGACTGTAAAGTCACAGAAGATCACAAACCCAAGGAGAACAAGCAGCTGCTTAAGGAAGGGAGAAACACACGAGATGAGACAGACACGTGGGCCTACATAGCTGCGGAAGGCGGTCAGGAGGCCCTGGACGGCGGGGGCCACGCGGATGAGACTGGCGGTGAGTGGGCCTGTGCTCAGGGCTGTGCACGGAGTCACTTCTGCCTCACTCCGCCCCCACTGTCACTCTGATCTCAGGATGGAGGAGAGTCTTTTCAAGTCTCCTGAATAAATACCTTTCTACGTTGGAGACTTAAAAGTTCTTCTGTCGTTTCTAAATTGACCGATCAGATACTTTCTGAACTCCTCTAGTACGCTCAGCACGTTTAGAAACTGAAGGTTTCTGGTTTGCTGCCTTACCTCTTGCCCAGCAGCCTGCTTGTGAACCTTACCAGATTTCTTTCAGAAAATGACCAGATACAGACTTACTTGTATTCCTCCTTTTAACTGCAGTAAATAACACTTACTAAGTGACGCTCCAGGCACATCCTCTGCCACTGAGTCTAGAGGCAGAGCCTCTGTCTTCCAGGGCTGCCCTAGCAGACCCGCAGGTGCTGTCCCTGCTGCCTGGGGCACCTAGCGCCCCAGGTCCCAGGGCTTACAAAGCTGGAAAAAAGCGAAGCTGACAGGACGTTCTTTTAGGATACATGTATTTATGGCAAAACTTTTTAAAGAGACTCAAAGCGAATGACAGACCCCTGCTGTGCCAGGGCAGGGATGGACCGTGTCCTGTGCTGCGTTCACAGAGGCTCACCCCATAACAGAACATGCAGTCTTTAATATATGTCTAACTTTTTATTTACAATAAAGAGGAAAAGTTAAAACTACCAGATGCTGAGGAATGAACAGAGTGAGCGCAGGCTTTTAAACCAATGGCTTCATTAATAGCAAACTCTGAGCTGAGAGTTGTGGGTGCACGTGCCTCAGTTGCTGCAACAGCCGTGCAGCGTGATCGTCTGTCCTGCCGTGTGGACAGTGGCTCTGCGTCATCACGCTGCAGTGGGGGTCACCTGCCCCATCCGTGCGGGGGTGTGGGTTCATGCAGTTGCTGCACGCTCCCTTCTGAGTGCTGGCCGCTTTTAACTGAGCACTGCCACTGTTCAGAAAGTGAGGTGAGGACTTACTCAAGGCTGGACGTGTCCCGTGGCGCCCCGGAGACGTACTGTTTCTGTGACGGAATGCTCTTAAATCCTCGAACCCTACCGTCAAACATTTGTGCTTCTCACGTTTTAGACCAGTGCCGTCATCTTGAGTTGCCCCCAAAGCCCGTTTATTGCACCGCCTCTGGGGCTTTTCCTCCCTGGCGTTGGCGAGCCCAGGACCAACGTGCTGGCGGTGTGTTGGCGGGGTCCCGGGAGGGGAGGCTTGAGCTCAGGCTGGAAGAACAGGTCTGGTTCGCATACTGAGAGTGCACCTCAGCTGGCCCTGCATGGGCCCCTCAGGTGTGGAGGGCTGCCTGTGTCCAAGGAGAACGGCCAGAGTCAGGTGTTGGAGATTCCTCTGTCTGAATCTCTGATTCCTTGCTTCCTTTGAGCCGCTTAAAATTGGTTGCTGTTTTGCAGTTAGCAGGATACCTGTGTATCCTCATGCCTGGGAAGCACCATGACATCTGCACTGCCAATCAGACAATCCAAAATTCAATTAAGGACTCGGTTACATGATGACATGTGTTAAAGCATGTGTGACGCTTTGGTTATGACACTGTGTTTAGTCAACAGCACTGGGTGTTTTTTTTAGTCCAGAAAAATGTATCTTAGTAAGGTTCTTCTGTGTTCCAGATGGCAAACAGCAGATCGTGAGCTTGGGCATGGATTTGCAGTTGGAATGGATGAAATTAGAAGATTTTCAAAAGCACCTTGATGGGGAAGATGAACATTTTACTGCCTCGGATACAGTTCCGAGCAGTGAGTAGTTGTGGGATTATGGGGGTCCTCTTCATGAATCTGGATGAAGAAAACTTAACTTTTCTTTTCTTTCATTTTAGACTTACTGAGGGATGCTGTGAAAAATGGGGATTATATTACTGTAAAGGTTGCACTTAATTCAAGTGAAGAATATGACCTGGAGCAAGAGGTAAGATGGCTCTGTAATCTTGTGAAAGGAAGATGGAAGGTAGCTCTGTCAAAATAATTCAGCTTTTTTTCATTTCTTTCCTTAATTGTAAAAGTAATGCATGTTCACTTTGTTAAACTGAAACACTGTAGAAATGTTACAGCACCTGTAATTCTAGCCCCCTGAAGTGGCCGTTCTGTTCAGCTGTGGCCCACGTGGTCTCGTCTGCAGTTTAACCTCCGCACTTAGGTTAAGTGAGTCCTCATCTCTTGTCACCTGCTGGGTTTCGTTGGTAGTTGCCTGTTGACAGCAACTGCCCATTTTTCTCTTGCTGCTTGGTTTCTTTCATACTGATTTATGAGAGTTTTTTTATATGGAAGCGTATTAACCCTTCCTTTCTGTTTTGGGGTTTCGTTTTCTGAGTCTTACTGCTTGGAGGGGATTTTATTCTTAGGTGGTCGGATCTGTTGATCTTTTCCTGTGTGGCTTTTGAGTGTCCTGTCTTGCTTAGAAAAGACTTCTGTATCTTCTCTAGTTTTCTTGCTCTAGTTGTAGATTTGGGGGGTGAGCCCTTCGGTGTTGCAGTTCAGAGGTTATTGGGATCTTCATTAAAATGGCATGAAATACACAGACTAATATGGCTCAGAACTGACGTTTTTACACTTTGAGTCTTCCGTCCAGGAACGTGATGCCTCTGCACTCACTCAGCTCCTCATTCGCTCCCCGAAGCAAAGCTGTACGGGTTTCCTTCTTCACAGAGTTCTTGTACATGTATTTCAGGTGTACTCATAGTATCCTACGGGTTTTAAGTTATTTTACTGTGTCACTGGGATCCCCCCACACACGGTTCTTGCTGGTTATCAGGGTGGTGCCGCTGTCATCTCTGTGTTGTCTCCACTCACTTTGTGAAATTCTCTGCTCCATAGTTGTGAAGTTACTTGCCTTACATGGTCTGGGTAGAGTTTCATCATCTGCTAAATAGTAACTCTTTGATTCCTTTTCCCAGTATTTCCTTTTGTGGTCTTACAAACTTGGTAAGTGTGACTTGCGGAGTGAGACGCCGTCCAGCTCCGTGCCTGATCTGGATGGAGTCCTCCCGTCGGGTCTGAGGGTGCCGGTGGACTTGTCATGCTGCTGGCCTCTTGTGGAGAGCCTCTCTCTCACAGCTTCCTTTCTTTCTTTAGCTGCTTAAGTTTTTATCAGGGATGTGTGCTGGGTTTGTCCCGTGCTTCCCCACTCTACTTTGATAGGCAGCTTGGTCTTTATCAATAAAACAGTAACTGGAGGGAACTCTCTGAAGTTAGAAGTTTTTTCTTCATTTAACGTGTTTGTGGTAATAAGATACTCTGCACGTGAGAGGAGGCGGTTACACCCTCGTCTCAAGTTCAGTGGGCCCCATCATGTATAAAGTGCTTCTGCCACAAGGAATGCTTCTGCCTTTGTGTTCTCTCAGGTTACTGTAGACTTTGCTAAACTTTCAGATTATAGCCAGATTAAGTCACACTTTTAGAATTTAGTTTTATCAAATGGCATTTAATAAATTGGTTTTCTCATGTGGTGAATGCTTGAACTAATGCATGGGAATTTTAGCTGGTCATTACCTTTTAATCTTTTGTCAGTCTTGTGTAGTTTCATCTCTACTCAGAGCACTTTAATTTCTCTGCTTTGTGACGGCCTCTTAGAAACTAATCAGATCAGGGTCCTGTTTCCTCCTCTGAACTTTCTTCATCCTTGGAGCTCTCTCGCTCACTTCCCGACAGTTACATTTACAGAGGCCAAAGTCTGTCTAATACGCGTAGCATTCTTTCTGACTTGTAACCAGCAGAAGGGACTTGTGTGACGGTTAGGTGTCATTTCAAGCCTTATGTCTTTGGACCAACTGAAGTGTGTTTCACCCAGAGCACAGGAGACTCTCGGACCTGAAATGTGATGCAGATGAATGAGCACCTTTGCCATTTCTGTGACATCAGGGTTCACTGTTCTTTGTATCATGCGAAGTGTGAATCTGCCTTCAGAACTCAATCTGTGGATTGTAAAGGAACACATACGAAAAAAATTCTGAGAGTTTTTAGTTTCTGATTGTTTGTTAGGGTGCTTTAGTGAAAAGCCCAGAGATGCAGATGTGGAAATCCATGTACTTTAGCGATCTCACTTTGGAACATCGCGAATGAGAAGACGTAGTTCTGAAGCTTGTCTGATTAGACACTGACATGTTTTTTCACATACCAACCCGATCAAGGATTCAAGTGGGATGACGCTGGTGATGCTGGCGGCGGCGGGCGGGCAGGACGACCTGCTGCGGCTGCTGCTCAGAAAAGGCGCCAAGGTGAACGGCAGGCAGAGGAACGGGACCACCGCGCTCATCCACGCTGCTGAGAAGGTCGGCCGGGAAACCAGTCCTATCCTTGTCTCATCGCAGCTCGGCCACGGCTCGTCGTAACGGATATATTTCTGATGACAGTCGTACTTTGTAGCTGAATTTTCAAAATATAAGTTGTCTAGTTGAAAGTGATTTCTATTGGAAAAGAACCTCTAGTAAGGTTACTAATATTGATCTCTTTCTTAGACCTTTTTAAAATCTTCTGTGAGTAACGTGTTCCCATGTGGAGAATTGACACGCAGAGAGGCTCTCGTGTCCAGGCTGCTGGCAGTGTTTTGAGGCTGCACGTGGGGGCCGGGCGGGGGCGACTCCCAGAGCCCCCAGCTCTCGCCAGCCTGCTTGGGAGTCTTTTTCCTGGTGGCCGAACATTTCAGAACATCTAAAAACATCTTTCTTTGAAAGAATTCTGGGAATTAAATTTGTTTTTGTTTCTTTAACAGAACTTTTTAACTACAGTGGCTATTCTCCTGGAAGCAGGAGCATTTGTGAATGTGCAGCAGAGCAGTGGGGAGACGGCTCTGATGAAGGTGAGTGCCCCTCTTGCGGGGCTGCAATCGCACAGAGCAGGATGGTCTGGGGGGCCAGGCGGTTGAATATGAGCTGGAGAAGCGGACCCGCAGAGCAGCTCAGCTTGGGCCAGGGGCCTCGGGCCGGGTGCGGAAGGAGGCTGAGCTGAGCCAGAGCAGTGAACCTGGCCTGCAGGGCTGAGGGCAGTGGTTGGGACCCCGCGTGAAGGAGAGTGAGGTATGTTCCCTGCCCCAGACCCCGTGCGCGGAGCTGCGTGCGCAGAGGGTTGAGTGGAAGGTGGGGGCTGACCCTGTGGCAGCTCCAGGTTTCTGGCCAAGATGCTGTTGGCACAGAGCAGGCCCTGCCCTGAGTGTGGGTGGCGTGGTGGTCCCTGTGGGGGCCCCCTCCCGACAGACGCAGTTCTGTGTGAGCGGCTAGCCCAAGTGGGCGTTTGCCTGCGGCAGTTTCTAAGCCTCTTTCACGATAGGGCAGGGGTAAGTCTGGTCTCGGCTCTGCTGTTGGGAAGGCCGGGGTCACCTCATCCACACTTGAGGCTGAAACCTTGCTCACTGCTTGTGTTTCTCTTTCCTTTTTGTTGCATGGAAATGTTTGTTTTGTTCAGGAGCCCTCCTTTTGAATTTTAATTTTCCTTATGTGTTTCGGTTGCAGCATGTTTAGAGCACAGGTGGCACCCAGAGTATAAATACTGAGAAACTGCCAGGCACGTGCCAGGCACAGTCCAGGCAGCAGATACTTGGACAGTCTGCAGCGCACGGGTGGGGGTGGGGGTGGGGATGAGCACAGAAGCTTCCCACATCTGTCCCGAGGAGCTAGCACTTTGTCCTGAGAGCAGCTGGGCGCCATCAAAAGGTTTAATCTGGAGACATCATCAGGGTAAAGTTTGGGTTCTGTTGTTCTAATGTCCCCATTACAGTGGGGGCAATGGATTGGTTTGCAGACTTTCAGGGAGGTTCTTAAAATTAAGTGTAATGGTAATAGGCCGTCCCGAGGTGGTGACAGTGGAGAGAGAAGGGGACAGACTAACCTAGTTTTTAAGGAGGCAGGGTTCACGGGGCCTGGTAACTGAAGGTGATGCTTGGTGACTCTGTTCGTGTGTTAGGGAACGGAGGCAGCACCGCTGGCAGCTTTCCCGTGGATTTGAGCTGGAAATGCTCAGAAGATGCTTCGCGTGTGGCTCTTTAGCTCAAGAGCGAGGTGGGCTGGGAACGGGGCCATCCACTAAGAGCCAGAAAGGAAGCAAGGAGGCTGAGGCTGAGCAGGAGAGACAGGAGGGGGTTGGGGCGTCCGTGGTTTGGGGTGAATTGGCCGCAGGACGAGGCTGGCCCTGGGAGCCCCAGGTGGGCCATGGCAGGGGGATGGCGGTGGCTTCTCCCAGAGGAGCTCAGGGTGTGAGCTACCGTCTGAACTAGGTGCCTGTGCTGACACTTAATTTGGCTTCTTTCTTTGGAGATTTGTTCCTGACAAGCACGCTTTCAGCTGTTTAAGGATTTAGTGTATTAGTTTCATTGAGTTTTAGACAGAGGCAGTAAATAAGGGGAAAGGTTTTCGGAAATGGAGACAAAATGGAGACCTTTCACCTCGGGAAGTAACGTGTAATCGGTGGTTTCCGGTGCGTGAGGGCCTCACCGGTCTTGGCAGGGCTCACCCACCTGCCAACACCTGTCACAAGGAAGGTCCTTCCTGCTGCCCCCTGTGTGACAACCAGGACGGTCCCGGCCTCTGAAGGGCTGGGGTCCGCTCGCCTGCGAGGTGCCCACCCCCGACTGCAGGTGCAGGTACTCGGCCTAGAAGCATCTCCGGTGACCCAGGGGCCTGGTCTTCTGATCCCGTGTGTCCAGCCTGGCCCCCATCCTTGACCATCCGGCAGTGCCAGCCTCAGGCTTGTGAAGCATAAGTGCCGAGAACTCCTTTGTGATAAGCTGATTTCAAGGACAGGCCTGAAGTCACGCGGCTGGGGGTGATAGACAGGAGGGGACCCGTCATGGGGTCTGCATGGCAGCTCCCGCCTGCGATCTGCTGCATTCAGATGTGGAGCCCTGCCTGACGGGTCCCCCTGAGCAGCACCAGGCACGCTGACACGTTCCCTGAGCAGCACTAACCCTGAGAGCGGGGGCTTCCGGGGGGCGGGGGAGGGCAGTGCCCAAGGGGCCCAGTGCCCCTCTGTCCTGAGGACTCAGCCTGCGCGGTTCAGTCCTGCTCACAGAGAAGGCAGAGCACAGGCTTCTCATCTCCAGGACAGTGTCCGGCCTCAGGTGTGTCCCCCGCTCAGTGCGGAGAGCGGGACAAACACTGGTGCGCGGGCAGGAATGATCACTCCTCTCCTGACACAGGCCTGTAAGAGAGGAAACTCGGACATCGTTCGGCTCGTGATCGAATGTGGAGCCGACTGCAATATCCTGTCCAAGCACCAGAACAGCGCGCTGCACTTTGCAAAGCAGTGTAACAACGTGCTGGTGTATGAGCTGCTGAAGAGCCACCTGGAGACGTGAGTGTGGGGCGGTGTCCCTGGGGAGGTCCCACACATACTCAGAGTGGACTGGATAACGGCTCAGAAAAAGACGCCAAGTACAAGCCCTGATGGGCTTCTGGTCTCAGGAGATGACGGATTTAAGAAGTGGGGAATGCATCATTTTTCTGCAAGTTATTGAGGCCTTGGAGGAAACAGTTAACGCTGTTCTAACTGGCAGTGTCATCTTACATTCTCAAATTGGCTCCCAGACACTTCCTTAAAACCATTTAAACCTTTTCTAATTTAAAAATTTTTTAATTTAAATTTTAAAAATTTATTCTTTTATTTTTATACATTCTTTTATTTAAACAACTTTTCAGATCAAGTTTTAGGTTCAAAGTAAAACTGAGCAGAAAGTAGAGATTTCCCACAAGCGCCGCCCCCCCCCGCCGCTGTCACGTCTCCACCAGAGAGTGCATTGTGGCAGGTGATGCACCCATGCTGACTCGCCCCAGCACCCAGAGCCCCAGGCACAGCAGGGCCACTGGGTGCTGCGCATCCTGTGGGCTTAGACGGGTGCACTGCCGTGGACCCACTTACTCATCTCTCCCGTCCCCCAGGCCTTGGAAACCACTGGTATTTTTCCCGTCTTTCCCAGAATGCCACATGTTGGAATCATATACCATTTGCTCGTTTCAGATTCACTTCTTAGTGATAAAACATTTAAGTTTTCTCCCTGTCTTCATAGCCTGATAAGCTTGTTTCTTTTTAGTGCTGAATAATAATTCCATTGCCTGGACATACATGACCACAGTTTATCCATTCAAGTTCGTGCTTTTTCAGATAAATTCTAAATCATTTTATTTTACTGGATGTTCATGGAAGTAATTTAGCAGCTTATTACTTAAGAGTTATTTTGGCAACACACAGCAGGAGCTTCACAGACAGTAGCTGGTACAGTGAGGCGTTTACTGCTTGTACAGCAGGCTCCAGGGGAGGGCAGCCCGGGTGGGAACAGCCACGCTTCCCTCTTCCTCATCCACCACGTAGGACGTGACTCGGGTCTTCACGCCTACAAGACGGCTGTTCCATTGCGGGTGTAGGACCTTTGTTCTAAACAGAAAATAAGGTAAATTTCAGACAAGAGACAGAAACGGCAAAGGCCAAAAAGGGGGTGCATGCCTGGTGACCCCCCTCTAGGACAGCCTTCACTGGGGGCCCTGCCCAACCAGTAGTTTGACTGTGACCCCGTCTGAGGCTGCAGCCTGCCAACGTGGGAACAGTCACCGTAACGGGGCAGAAACCTTCCTGGTTTGCCCGTGGCTGAGGGCTTCCTGGGCTTCGTCTAAGTGGTGTCTGAAGGGTTCCTGGGGCTCACAGTACTGAAACTAGAGCATCCTGGCAAATGGGGGAGCAGACGTCTGCACAGCAGGACAGTGAATTAGCGCTGAGCATTTTATTTGAACACTTTCCAAGCCCGGTACTGTGACTAGGCTCCCAGTTCTTGAATTTTCAGGAGAATTGCTGTTTTTTGTTTGATGAGACGAGTATGCACTGAGCTGAGTGCGCCAGGCCGGAGGTGGGGAGGGCGTGGGGGAGGCTCACCCCTCTGGAGCTTGAGCTCCTGTGACGAGGTGACAGGTACGACCCTGACATGCCACGTGTCCGACGCTGAGAGGAAGCAGGGGGCGCCGTCCACCTGGGAAGGCCCCGCTGGGGTCAGGTCAGGTAACTGTGGCTCATGGTTCTCTCCTATGTTAACAGCTTGTACTTTTTATCAGACTTTCGAGAGTAGCAGAAGAAACGATAAAGGACTACTTTGAAGCGCGTCTTGCTCTGTTAGAACCAGTCTTCCCAATAGCATGTCACCGTCTCTGCGAGGGGCCAGATTTTTCCATGGATTTTCATTACAAACCCCCACAGAACATGCCAGAAGGTAAGCCTGTGTTTTCTCTCCCTTTGAAGTCTGACGTTAAAAATATTCTGATTTTTAGGCAGAACTCTTTGAACAAAACCGTAACAGATTCCATCATGTGAAAGCAGCTGGGCTGCTCTGGTGGAGAAGGATCCCGGCTGACGCCCACGCGACTTCGAGACGCACCAGTGCTCATGCTGGTTTAGAAAGTACAGCACTTGGGTCTTAATAGTCATATTAGTTTTTATTAAGAGTTTGATTAAAATTTTAAATGTAGCTTTTAAATCTTAGGTTTTAAGATTTAAGCCCAGAATCAGTGTTTTCCCTGAATTTTATTATCCGTAATTAACAGCCTTGCCATTTTAAAAAGAAAAAACATCTTGCACCATAGTTAAGTTTAGCAGCAAGAGATGGGCGCCTCAGTGCTGCTTCGCATCCACCTGGCAGGCGGGACTGCGGCCACGGGCTGCCTCTCGGACACAAATGGTGCGCGTGCTGGGCGCAGGCCATGCCGTCTCTGCTGAAAGGTGGTAGGAAGTTGCGCTCGTAAAAAAAAAAAAAAGATGAACCACCCATTTTAAACTGATCAAGGACAGCCGCTGGTAATGCCTCGGTGGTCAGCGGCGCCGGCGCTGCAGGACCAGTCTGTCCCGACTGTCGGGGGTTGGGGGGATGTGAGCTTGAGCAGGGGCTGTGGGGCTGGGCCCCCACCGTCCACTGCTCACGTGCACAGTCTTCTGTGTGTGTGTATCTGCAACCACTAGAAATTGTTTCCGTTCACCTGAAATCTTAACCAAAGATACCATGTCATCCTCAGAAGATCCTGGTAGGTTTTCCTGACCCTGGGTACATGCTCCTCAGCCCAGACCTGGAGGAGTCTCAGCCGACACTTGGCGAGACCTCAGGTGACCTAGCAAACTAATCAGGGTCCCTTGTGTCACACTGCGTGTGAAACTGGAGTGTTTGTCAGAGAGGTGCCTAAGGTACCCTCTTCCTCCCCGTGGCTGGTCTGTGCGGTTGCCCCGTGTCCTCCCCACTGGGGTCTCGGGGGAGCCAACAAGCACCTCCTCCTGGTCAAACCTCAAAACAGCTTGACAGGAAAGATGAGAACCTCCGGACCAGAACCAAGGAAGCATGGTTCTTTGGGTTCCCTGGGATCGCCTTCGTGACTGGCCTGAACCAATGTCTTTGTTAAAAAATGTTTTTTTATTATTAAAAGTACAGCTTATGGGGGAGGGTATAGCTCAAGGATAGAGCACGTGTTTACTGTGCCCGAGGTCCTAGGTCCAATCCCCAGAACCTCCATTAAAATTCTTGGTAATTTTTGAAGCACAGGATGTGCTCTGCTCAAACAATGAATCTTGCAGAATATTTGAGATCCTCAAAAGTTCAAATCTCATGCTTTCTCCTTTAATCATAAAGTTGAGAAAAGGCAAAATAGTGTGTGGACACAGAGGTGTCCATGGGTTTGCTTCTGTGGACACTTACACCACTAAGTAACGTAGAAAAAGCGTATTTTTGATTTTTTTCTTGATGGGGAACCGGGGATTGAAGCTGAGACCTCGTGCAGAGTAAGTGCACTGAGCTACTCTCCCCTTGAAAAAGCGTGTTTTTAAAAAATCTGTCCATGAGCTGTCATAGGGTTACGTGGACTGAAAGGAGGAGGGTTCTGTGGTTTGCTAGACAAACACCGGCATGTCCTGGGGTTGGAGGCCTGCTCTGTCCTCCTGGGGGAGGGGCTCCGGGAGGTGCCGTGCCAGGTGGGGATTAAAATCTACTTGCATCTCCCTGATTCAGGCTCTGGCGTCTTGCTGTTTATTTTCCACGCGAACTTTCTGGGTAAAGAGGTCATTGCCCGCCTCTGTGGACCGTGTAGCGTACAAGCGGTGGTTTTAAATGATAAATTTCAGCTTCCTGTTTTTCTGGTAAGATTTTCCATGGTTCATTACTGACAAGTACCTTCTCATCAAAAGCACAAAAGGCTTATAAATTTGTTAATCCCATAATCGTGAAGTAAAATTATTCTCAATTTACCAAGTCTTAGAACTAATGTTCTGAACATAAGTTCTTGTGGTGCAAGAAGTATATTTTTAAATATTATGCCTTTTCATGCAGTATAATCACAAATGTTCACATAAAGAAAATTTAAGGAATTCAAAGGGGAAGAAAAGCATACCTGTTTAAGCTTCAAAAACCCAAACACAGCCACTCTGTAACAGGGCTGTGTTCTGCCTTAGTTTTAATGCATCATTTTAGGTGATAACTGTAGTATATAATTTTGATTTTTATTCATCACGAACATTTAAAAATACAGTGTACAATAACTCATCTATCAGTGGCTGTATCCTTTTTAATATAAAATACTCTTGAAGAATGTTTGTGCATGTTTCTTTTACCACATTGAGAATTTTTTCCTTAGGCTGAATTAAAATGGTTATAAATCAAGGGGAAAGTTAAAAAATCACAGCATGTTGCATGGTAAATAAATTCAGGTACAAAACTTGGATTCTCTCCTGCATCGCTGAGTCTCAAAGGTCTCTGGATGCAGAAGTCTGTCTGAGGACATACTGACTGACGCTGGGGGGTCTCTCTCCCTAGGACAGCCACTTCGTTTACTCATTCAGCCCGGCCGCAGGCCTCAACAAGCTCTTCATGCGGCTGACGGAAGCACCCTCTGCCAAGGTGAGGACCTCTCCGCGTACCCAGTGTCACTGGGAAAGCTGTTCCTCCAGGTAGGAAGCTTTTGGGGCATGTGGCGGTGTTCCTGGTGAGCCCAGGGGGCAGTGCTGGACCCTCCAATGCCCAGTGGTATAGAGGAGCCGCAGGTCTCCCCGTGCCCAGCAGTCTGGCTGCTGCTGAGGTGCTAGGCTTCGGTACTTAAGAGTCTAACATGTGACAACCTAAGAATCAAATGGTCGCCAACAACCTACGCTGATGACCGGTTTGAGAATTCTGCCAAGTCAGGAATGTCTTGACCGTCTGTGTCTCCCCACTTCTCATCTTGATACCTGTGCGCTGTTCTCTCTCAACAGGTTAAGCTGCTGATCGGCGCGTACAGAGTGCAGCTGCAGTGACCACAGAGGAGGGGACAGACTTGTCTTCAGACCCGTTTCGAAACCCGCTGGCAAGCAGTTTGGGATCTGGGAGAGCTGACACTTGGTTTCATCTGTAAGCCTCTTGCATTTAAGGCCTGTCCTCTGTTACAGTCTGTGAGGGGACACGGTGGGTCTAGCATATCACAAAACAGATGTAAGTACTTGTGCCCGTGTCTGAAATCTCAGTGTTATGTCCAGACTGTGTGTTGAAGTTTTTCCACAGTGTGGAAGGGTACATATGAGAATTATTTAAGAAAATTAAAACTTTTTAAACTTGGAATTTTTTTTAACTATCCCTGATGAATTTTTGTGTTAAAAATTGTAAAGAATCCAGTGAGTGTACACTTACATGTAAGTTACCCAAGGAAACTAATAAATCAAGCCACCTGGATTACAGAAACATGTAAAAAGAAGTTTCTAGTTAGTTTTGTAATTGAGATCCAATGAATTTCACGTACGGTCATCCCTCAGTATCCACAGGGAGTTGGTTCCAGTAACCACACATCGATACCCCCATGTACTTTAAATCCCCCTGGATCAACCTGTACACTGAGGTGCACATGCTGTGTAAACAGCTGTGCAGCAAACTCAAGTTTTGCTTTTTGGAACGTTCTGGACATTTTCTTTCCTGCCCTGGATATTTTCCATCCAAGGTGTGTTGAGTCTGTGGACAGGGAACCCACAGGTGTTGAGGGCAGACCACACATCTTGCATGGACGTCTCAGACCTTTACTACCTAACACCTTTTCCTGCAGTTTTCTCAATAAACACCACAGTGTTGGTCTATTTTCTTTCTGTCCAAGTCTCAGGACTTCAACACAAGGTGGATGCAAAATGTATAGTTTAGCCCAACAATGGCTGGGAACAGACCTTCAACTGTACTGACTCCTGTGCTGGTAACTGCATCTGACTTCACAGCTTTACAGAAAAAAGAAGCAGGAACGTTAAGGGGACGGCAGCAGTACCTGGTTCGCTACACGTAAGAGAAAACGGGCTTTTAAAGAACATTTCATTTCAAATGATGTGGAGGATACCAACACCTGTACAGGAGCACATTAAAAGAGGACACACTGCTTATCAAGGCAGCAGGGCCATCAGAGTAGGAACCAAGGAGAAAGTGTGGACACAGCTCCTTTGAGAGCTTAGGCTGAGTGGTATGAAAGCAGTGAAGTCAGGAGCAAGGGTAAGATCCTTAACATGTAAAACCAAGTTACAGGGAGAGCAGAGCGGGCTGGTGGTTCTCACGGAACCCGGACATCTGGGGTGACTCGCCCACACCGGCTCCCACCACCTGTGCGCGACGTGCCTGTGTGCAGCTCTCTGTCCACCGTGGCCTCCAGCAAAGCTCAAGTTCTCTCCAGAGGCAGGTGCACAAGCACACATGCCCTTCAGTCTGTTTTCCAGAGGATGCACACTCGCCCTTGATGAGGCGGGGACTGACACAAGTGCGAACAGCGAATCCTCTGAGAAACAGCACTTCCCCAGCAGCCCCTCGGCACTGCACCCAAAGATGTGCAGACAGGCCAGGCCAGGGCCTCGGGGACCTCGTGACTACACATGGTGGCCTCACCTCGGGCCAGACTCACTGAAAAGCAGTTACTACGCAAGTTTTACCTCAGTTTCATCTTAACGTGATTGGAAGTCCTCACTCCACCTCTCCCCCGCGTCTCCAGACTCCGCCAGCACACGTCGTCCCGTCCCAAGCCAGTTCTCTGGGATGTCGAGGGGCAGCCGTTTGGGGCTCAGGTGCTGCTTTTACAGTCCCGCTCAGCCGCGTTACACTGACCACTTTTAAAGTTCAGCTACATACGGAAGTCACCCCTGCCAGCCAGGCTCGGCACCCCGAAGGCTGACGGTGAGCGGCCCTGGTAAAGCGTCTGCTGTGAAGCTGACTCTGAGTAAAACCTAGGGAAACAGCCAAGTGCAAGGAGGCCGCTGAGCAAAGACGGAGGGAGAAAGGAGAGCCCAGAACATCCAAGGTGATGTGAAATGTAGGATGCCTCGTGGCATGTCGTATAAACCCCCAAAGTTACTTTCAACTTGTAAAACGTCACTGGTCTCACAACCACATCTTTACGAGGCCACTTCAGGGACCACTGACGGGATCCACACCAACTCCCTCCATGCTCTGCTGACTTGCACGTAGTGCTCCTTCTCAACCAAATCTGGGATTTCCAGTCCTGACTCCCCTGCCCGGGTACAGAAGAGCCTTCCCAGTGGGCTGGAAAGTGGGAATGACACTGGAAGTTCACAATTAAAATCAGGAAACAGGCATCCTGAGAGCCCAGAGAGCCACCCCAGTCGGAATCTGAGCCTAACATTTGGCATCAGTTCGATCTGGAAGATTCCCCACTACCGTCTCTGCCTTGCTCATACCCCCCTTATCTGCCTTCCTTGGGCCAAGGTTTACGTGCTGGTAAAAACGTGGTTTTTCACACCTGCATAAATTCCTTTCGAGTCCGTCCCTACCTCGGGGGCCAGGCTACATGAGGTCGTAACATGAGTTGTAAGGGGGGCTGGGGTTACTCTGCAGCGCTAACGTTCCCCGTTAGCCAACAAGGGCGCCAAGGGGGCAGGCGTACGACTCAGGAGAACAAACCTGAATCAAGATGGAGAGTCTGTGCTACTCCGGACACTTCAGACATGGTTTTCTGAGTGTCATTACTCACAGCCATTAATTGTTTCTGTAGACTAAGAAATTCACAAATAAAACAAGATTTTTCTAGCTTGCTTCTCCTGTGTTAAAATAATTCCTCCCACAAGATGGCCTGACTGGGGGAGGCGGGGGAGACACTCCTTGCTGGGGAACAGGAGGCGTATCTGCAGCATGTGTTTCTAAAGGAAGGACGAGGCTATCTGGCTGGCGTGGTCTGCATGACCTGAAATTCTCACACCACAGGCAGCTTCCAGGGCAGCGTGGAGCAGGACTAGATCAGAGTCACCAGTGAGGGGGTGAGGGAAGAAATACACTTAAAATGACACCTTCTGGGTCTGTCAGGTGACAGTATACATCAGCACAACTCTGTCTGAAGGATCACACAGTGTAAGCGTGTCCGCAGGGTTCTGTGTCTAACTTAACAAAGTAATAGGAAAGCTGTTACCCTCTATAGAAGCGTAGAAACAACAGGGGAGAAGGAGCTGGGGTCCCTTGCCTGGCTCTTGATTTTACGATGATAAACCATTTTTAAGATTACACGCTTTCCAAAAGAATGCAAGACTAAAATTTTAGACGTGCATCCACTGAGCCCTGTTTAATACGTCATTTCTGTCCTCAGTCCAGTTCTACCTAAAGGCAAGTCAATGCACAGTTACTATCGGTGAGGACAGACAAGGGCAATTTAGAGCTAAAAATAACCTCAGATCTTTCTGGAAGAAGCAGGCAGGCCGAGGAGAAGGGGTTCCAACCTCACGCAACATGATGCACATGGTCCCACCAACGCAGCACCCAGACAGCCTGGCGCGCGGAGAATGACAGAGGGGGCAGGTGCGGCCGGCGCTGACCCACCTGGAGGGGAGGACGCCAGCATCTCCTGCTCTCTCAACTTCAATTCGCACTGGAAGCCAAGGTTCATGTAGCTTCATCCACATTTTCTTTTATCCTAGGAATACAGTAACGTCAGATTTAGCCTTTCGAAAATCAGTTTCAATAATCAATTAAAAAACAAGCGTTAACTCATTTCTTAAAGTTGGTAACTAATCAGGGCCTCTTGTCTGGGCTGCTGGCCCTCAGTGCATCACAGGAGACCCTCCCTCACAGCCCGGAGTCCTGCGTGGGCTCCCAGCTCCTCTGCTTGTACCAGGGCAGGGTGGGGCTGTGCTTCACCAGAAAAGCCTTCCCCACCTAATGTGGGGACCAGGGCTCCCCTGAGAGAGCACGTGGACCCAGAGTTTCCACTGGGGTCCAGACTTTTGTTTACCACTGTCTCGTCTTTATAACACACCTGACACAGTGGTGCACAGTTACAACTGAGAAAGAAATACCCAGATCTGTGCTCAGTGTTTTTAACATAGGGGTACATGACCAAAAGATACTGGAAATAACTATCCTAGATTAGTAGGTTTCAAAACCCATTTGGGTCTCAAATTCAGTTGAGCACTGGATAAAGTAATGAGCCTTTCCCTGAAAAAACGCATGAACGTTACATCTAGAAACCCTGCGTGTGATTTAAGCAGCTTCATGGGCTCCACTAAGACACCTCAACAATCCAACAGGATCATAGTCCCAGTTTCAAAGTCTTAAATTTTTGTCAAGGAATGGCATAAATTAAAAAACTTCCTATATGTCCATCTGCAACTACCATTCCTACACTTGTTTTGTAAGTGTGGTACTTCTGTATGCACTGCCGTTGGTAAAGTTAACACTTGACAATTAGAATAAATAGAACTGTCAGTCACAATAGACAACTGTATCACTTAAAGACACAGTAACACCACCTCAGGACCACTAAACTTCTAATCAGGTCTTCTCAACTTCTCAAAAAGGGGAACCTGCAAATTTTACAAAGCGTTAACTACACTACAACCTAGAAAGAGAATCTCCAGGTATTAGAAACTTCTGGTTGGCGACAGTCTTTTAAGAGTGGCTAATCTTAGTGCTTTTCAGCGTTCACAAGCAGAATCTGGAATGCTGCGTGAGGAAGTGGTCTTACAACCAAGTGGCCAGGCACTATGCACTGGGCTGCGATCAACGCTGGTCACCCGCCACCTGCGCCCACTCAGTGTGCTCACGAGTGGGGCGTTCTACTCTGTGAGGTCCTGCAAGGCTGAGGCACCAATATTTCCTTATCCTGAAGAACAGCCAAACATGAGAAGGAAAATCAGCCCAATCACTTCCTTAACTGGACTCTTAAACCCTAACTGTAACAAGACTGACACAAAAGGAGTCTCTTGTTAATGAATTTTAGGGTAGAACTGGGTCGGTAAGAACTGTCCGTGAGTTAATGCCAAGGCATCTGAGTTGGTGAGAAGGACACAAGACTAAGGCTCTAACCACGCCAACACGTGAACTGTCAAAACCCAGAAAAGGATGTTAACAGCGGCGCACGGGGAAGAACACTCGCCAGAAACCAGCCTGAAAGGGGATGATTGCTCTCCCGTGGGCCTGACCAGCTCGCTGTGCATCAGGGTCTCCTGAGAAACACCTCGAGTTTGCAGCTACGGCGGGGGGTGTCCACACCGGCAGAATCACCATTTTATTCCAATGTTAATAGATTCTCTTTAAGTAGCAAATAATGTGTCTTCAAAGAGCATAGGGAGGTGGTGTGTGATTAAGAAAATAATACATCAAAAAGGATAAGGCCAAAGACACAAAAGCCATCCTTCCTCAAGGAAAGCTGAGCGGCCGTGAAAGCAGCGGATCTGTGACACTCGTGACACAGCTGCAAGCTCGTCCTACTTTCTGATGTCGTAAAATCTCCACTGGTGAACAAATGATACAAGAAAATTAACTTCCAATTAACTGAATTAACTAAAAGACAAGTTTTCTCAACAGGCTTAATTTTCACATAGACTCTTTTGGACTGAAAAGTTGCAGTAAAATAAAAATAGCAAACTAAGGCTTTGGTTTTCTATCAAATCCATGGACCTTCCACCCAAGTCAGCACCACAGAGTAAGTTCAGTTAGATAGTAACTACCATCTTTCAGCTGACACGTGAAAATCTGTAATTTGAGCGTTCGTTTCTGGATTCCCACAACCATCTGGCTTTTCAGAATTCTAATAAAGCTACCCGTGCTTTTTCTTTTTTTTAAGTAGGTTTCACACAGATCCATGAGTTTATTACATCAGGGAGCAACGAACCCACAGGACCTGGTTATAAATAGCAGACTGGGATGAACAGGAGAAAGGCAAGTGTTCTTCACAAAAGAGGTGTCTGAGTGGCAAAACGCGTATGGAAAGGAATTCAACATCAGAAGTGAGGAGGGAGACGCAAATTAAAACAGCGGCAAACGCTGGCACGGCTGACGACAGGGCCTGGGCAGAGACGCGGAGCCCAGCGCCCTGGACACTCTCCCCACGACAGGCCCGCGGTGGGTGAGCCATACAAGGATGCTCCTAACGACCCAAACTGGACACGACTCAGCATCAGCGGGAGACGGGCAGCACGTGGCTCGTTCCCATCATTGTCATAACAGCTGAGGCTCAAACACAGCATCAAGTGGAAAAGGCCATTAGGCAACGTGCACACGTTCCACCTGCACGAAGTTCAGAATCCGGAGACACTACCACGCGGAGGCTGGAGGGGCTGGAAGGGAGCTCGTGAGAGCTGCTGTTAGGAGCCTGTGGCTGGCAAGCCAGACAAAACTCGCGAGTTCTGCATGACAGCCCAGTCCAGATATTCAAAGAGCAAGATTTAAAGTATTTTTAAAGAATCAGAAAAAAATTATTTAAAGTTCGTGTAGCAAATCAAAATTAAGAAATAAGTAGGTAAAATAAGGTCATGTTCAAACAAATAGGTAAAAATCATTTATCATTCATAAATACTACATAACATTGAAACCTGGAAAATATAATGAAGACTGGAACTTTTATATTGCCACAAGGCACATTTTTTTCAGCTTTATTGAGGGCAACTAACATTTTCAGCAAAATAATGTACTGATATTATATACCATCTTTTCTTCAAAAGTCATAAATACACTGTAATTATCAATGTAAAGTTCAGCAAAGACTCATGAAATCTAATAAAGTACAAATTGATGATTTTATCAAACATGACTAATGCTTCTGAGAAAAGTTAAAATTCATCATTTTC